GGATTTCTAAACTTAGCCCAGTTACTGTGAAAAACACCTTTGCAAGAAAGGGCTGCCCGCAGCCCTGGGCTTCAGAGGTGGTTATTTCTAGAGCTGGTGGAAAATATTCTTGCCTTTCAAAGGCTCCAATTATATTTCGGTGCTGGCTGGAGCCTGTGGCCTTCACAGCTTCCTCACAGGCACTCGTGGGGTGGTGGTGGGGACCACAGGTCCAACGGTACCACAGGGGGCAGGGAGAGAGGTGGGGGGACTGACACCCACCTACTGGCCAAAGAGATCTCACAGGATCCAAGTTAGCCTTGGGGGACACCTCAGTTAATACCCCCAAGCAAATGCCACAAATGCATTAGCCCAGCAGGAAAAAAATCCTAAAAAACCCCAGTAACTGAACCCTTCATAAACAATCCAGCAAGCTCTGGCAAATGCCCATGGGCCATCTTGCTTTAAATTTGCTCCAAAGATTCCTGAAAATCCCAGAGCTCTTACGTTTTAAGAACAGGACCAAGAGGACACCCTGACTAGCTTGGTGTGAAATCTGGGTCTGGATGAGCTGTGCCATGTGGACAGGGTGATACCAGGACACCAACCATCTCCCCTACCAGACACAACAAGTGATGAGAACCCTTTGGAGAAGTCAATTAAAAAATTTAAGTGCCAAAAATGTGCTTGGGTTACAGCTCAGTGGAGTGTTTCGTTCCAGGGACATCACAAATAAATGTATGGGAGTTCAGCTTGGCTTTTCTCATGTCACAACATGTGGAGATACCTCTTCTGACCTCCAAGTCAGAAGGAAGATCTTTTTTTTCATAATGCATGGGGAGGAACCAAGGTCTGGATGTGTTGGACCTCTATAGAACTCTAGAAATGGAAAATGCCATCGAAGGCTCCACTTTCCTTCCTGGGGAAAGGACTGGGGGAAAGGAACAGCAAAGCCAGAAAATGAGCCTTTCTGCTGGTTCATAAGAGGGGAATATGTTACTGGAGCGACAGATTTTGTGCATTACCTGAGAAAACAGTTTTGTCCAAGCAGGGCTTTGGTTTTGTTTTATTTTACCCCAGCAGAGAGAAGGCTCCTGCTATGGAAAGGCAGGACAACCTCTTCCAGGCACAGGATGCTCAGGGACCACAGCAGACCCCTCCACGAAAGGCAAAGCCCTGTGGACTCGTGTTCCTGTCTGTGATGCAGGGGTGATGGGTGGTGTCTGGAGCCAACAGCTGGGAGAAACCACCATGACAGAGAAGTCCTGTTATGGCTTATTCTGGAGGGAGCTGCTACGTGTGTCAGTTGTAAAAGCACCGGTGGGTGTCTCAGCCAAGGGAGTGCTGGGAACCTGGTGATTTATCTCTTTTCCTTCCCCTGATGCTCGTTAAAATGAGGATTTGTCAGCTCTGCTGCTGTATCCAGCCCAGTGCCTGTGCTTCTTGGCTCCCAGCGAGGTCCTCGCTGCAGATACCGTGTGCTTTGGCAGCCAGGCCAGTCTGGGCTGCAGGATATTACGCCTGGCAGGGACACAAACCCCTTCCAGTTCCTGGAATGTGGATTGTCTCGCGGAGTGCTGATTAAGCAGTGCTTTCCATCTGCACCCAAGACAAAGCCCTGGCCCTGCCTGAGCGTGGAGGTTCTGCTGCTGCTGCTGCCGGCGGGCTGCTGCCGGCGGTGGGAGCTGCCGGGGGTTGCTCCCCTGAGCCCCAGGGACACCAACACTTTCTGCCAGGGGTTGCTCCCCTGAGCCCCAGGAACACCAAAACTTTAACACCAGTTTCTCACACGCAAAGCTTTGCCGGTCACGGTGCTGGGTGAGCCAGGGCTGCTCAGGGCTCTGGCTTCTGTGAAATAATAAATCACTAAAAATCCGTCCCCGTAACAGAACCCCAGAGCCCTTCCTCCCCTGGGGCTGCTCCTCCCAGCCGGCCCAGACCGTGTCCCCAGTCAGCCCAGTTGAGATCGCTGCTGCGTGTCCCCATCTGCCTTTCTAATCCGCTGGGAATGGAGCTGCTCTTTCCAGCCTTACTAAAGAGAGATTCGATAGCTGGGGCTGAGGGGAAGGTGCCCAGTGTGGCACAAGGGGCTGAGCTGCTGCCAGTCCCTGGAGCAGCACCCACCCCTGCATACAGGTGAATGTACCACCTGGGTGTGGGCAAGCTGGGGATGCCAGCACCTGCAGAGAGATGGCTGGTGTTTTGGGGAGGTCTGGTGTTGGGAAGGTGAAGCTGAGCTGGTCAGACCCCCTGCAACAAGCAGCCTGGAAAGCTGACAGGCACTGGGGGCCATTCAGACCTTCCAGTGAGCCCAGCACCAGCCTCTGTGTCACAGCCTGGCCCCTGCCCAGCCCTGCCAGCCATGGCTACTGCTGCTCCCTGCACCCAGGGGTCCCTTCCATGGCACAAGAGCAAGGCCAGAGACACCTTGGCAGCAGTTTCCCTGTCTCCTCAGTGGCACATCCATCATCCCATCCACTGGGTGGGGAGCAGATGGAAACATCCCTCCAACACGTCTCCAGATGCTGTCCAGCATCTTGAGTTGCTTTATGGGAGCACAGATGCCAGGGAAAATATACACAAGGAAATATTACAGCCCAATCTCACAGCAGGGTGAGACTGTCTATCAGCTCAGCACCTGGGTGTTATTCCATCTCCACACCCAGGTCTGTTCCCCCCCAAGCTTCTGGTAGGCTTCTGTTCCCCGCAGGTCTCCTGGACTGATGGCTGCATCTGGCAGGCCCTGGGATGTGCATCAGTCCCAGCACAGGGCAGGAGTCATGTGGCCAGCATCCTCCATTCTCATCCCAGTCAAACCAGTAAGAACAAGAACTAGTGGTGGGTTGCTGCTGTGGGACTGCCTTCTCCTCCCTCACCATCCCAGCAGCCTCCTTGTCTCCCTGCCCAAGCACCAGTGTTCCCCTGATGCACTCTGGTCTCTGCTCCCTGCCTCTGGCACTGTGCTTCCCACCAGCCAAGAGAAGCAGTTTGGCCTTGGTGCTCCCCCTCATGCAACCAAAGAGCCAAATCCTGTCTCCAAGCCCACCTGTGCCCTGGTGAGCCCAGGCCTGGCAAGGTGTGGGGCAGCACCTTGCTCACCTGGGACACAGTGACACAGGGAGGTGACAGCAGCAAGCCCTCTGTGGCTCACATGCTGCTGCTGGCTCCAAGCCTGGTGGGAGGAAGAGGAGATGTGACTGGCAGTGTGAGCAGCCCCTCCAGACCCTGCCTGCCTTGCACTGTTGTGACCTGCAATAAAACAATCAGCCTCAGGCACCAGGACAGCTCGGGATGTTGCAGGGAAATGCCCTGGATGCTGCTGGAATGCTGCTTCCCCTCCCTGGGGACAGACCCCTGGACATCAGTTGGGCTCTCTGGGCAGCACAGCCCATGGAGGAAGGGCTCTTTTCCCCTGACAAGATGTCCCTCCAGGCTTGCACTGTTGTGACCTGCAATAAAACAATCAGCCTCAGGCACCAGGACAGCTCGGGATGTTGCAGGGAAATGCCCTGGATGCTGCTGGAATGCTGCTTCCCCTCCCTGGGGACAGACCCCTGGACATCAGTTGGGCTCTCTGGGCAGCACAGCCCATGGAGGAAGGGCTCTTTTCCCCTGACAAGATGTCCCTGGCCAGGCACCCCCAGCCCAGGCTGGTGGTGGGGAGCTGGGCAGAGCCCCCTGCTCTGCAGCAAACTCGAGTCCCTGGGGAGCCCACCGGGCAAGCGGCTTCACCCCTAACGGGGAGAGCTGCTGGCCCAGGGGCACACACGGGCACCAGGTCCCCTCCCGGCCACCCCTGCCAAGGGCCATCTCTGCCATCTGCTCAGCTCACACCAGAGCAGGGTGACCCTGGGTTTTGTAGTGAACACCAGCCCCTCAGCCACCAGCCCAGGGCAAAACCCCCTCCCCATCCCTCACCGACCTGGATTCGCTCCCCTCTCCACAGCTCCCAGCGAGACCCCAGCTGGGGAGGGATGAACGGGAGAGAGACGACTCTGGGGATCTCTCCCTGTAGGTATCCAGGGAAAAACCCAAGCCCAGCCAGCAGCGGAGGAGCAGCCCCCCTGCCCGTGGAGCTGCTGGCCGGGCTGTGCTGCTTCCCCCCGCGGTGCGGGGCTCAGCCTGCGTGCGCCTGTGCGCGCCGGGGCAGCCACCAGCCTATAAATCTCCTAGCAGAGCTCCTTCCCAACTTCAGGACGTTCCCGGGGGGAAGAGTTAAGATGCAGCTTCTGCGTCAGAGGCCCCGGCGGGCTGCCCGCCAGGGCTAGGCTGAGCCTCTCCCCTGCATCTGCCCCAGCAGGTTGTTTGCAAAGGTCGGCTGCCGCTGCCGCCGGGCTGGGCTGCTCTTGGCTCAGTCCTCAAGGTACGTAGCTGGGGGAACATCCTCCCTGCTGCTCCAGGGAAGGGCTGGCAGGGATGTAAAGAGGTGCATCAGCTGGCAGATGAGGTGATATTCCAGCGTTTTTCTCTGCTATTGGTTTTTGTTGTTGTTGACTTTTTTAATTACTCTGGTTTTGTGGTGGTTGGTTTTTCTGTCCCTGAGATAAAAGGGTCGTTAGGATTTCTTGCTGGTGCTTTTCAAGCTTGCCGTGCATTTCTGTATCTGTCTGATATTTCCATTTGTGCTGGGGATTTACTCAACACACCAAATGCCTGGGAAGCTCCAGGGCAGGCGGCTGCAGCCAACACCTCAGCGTGCTCCTGATCAGCCCCTGCCTGGCAGGTAAGTGCAAGCAGTAAAAAAACAGGGGAGATTTCATACTCATTTTGTTTGCTTTCTATAAAGAAACAACTCCAGAACCAATTTCCTGGCCATCTCCCTGCTGGTCTTGGAGGTATTTGCTGTGATAAATGAGGTTATCGAAGAGATTAATTCAAAAATAGATATTTATAAAAGAAAAGAAAGGGAAAATTGTCTCAAATCTTGTTTTAGGAAGCGGTGTTTGCACGCGCAGGGCAAACCTGAGTGGTGCCTGTGTTGTTCCTCTCCTAGACCCACGTGCCAGGGACCGGTGACCCACCTTGTCCTCACTTGGTGTGGGAGCCAGAAGCCACCGGCCGACCCGGCCGGCCGGCTTAGCATGCCTCGGCTCCACTGGCCCCTGTACCCCAGCGCCTTCGGCTTCTGGCTGAGCCAGCAGACCTGCTCCCTCCTGCTGCCCAACGCCACGGAGCTGCTGTCCCCAGGCAGGGGCAGGGCTGGGGGGCTGCCGTGGGGCGCGGGGCTCCCCCGCAGCCGGCGGAGGCGCTACCTGTCCCCCCGCGACGTGAGCGGCATTTTGGACTATCACAACCAAGCGCGGGCACAGGTGTCCCCTCCTGCTGCCAACATGGAGTATATGGTGAGTTGGGGGGGCCCGTGGGGTGTTCTCTGGCTCTTGGTGGCTGCGGTGGGATCGAGGGGCTCACCTGTGACCTGGGAGGGATGGGACACCCACAGGTAGGGGTGGCAGGTGATGCCCCGGGTTTGCGGCTGTCCCTGGGGATGTTCTGTGTCCCTGCTGCAGGGCAGACTCACGTACACCCCATGCAGCCTCTGTGCAGGAGGGATGGGGTCCCAATGGGGGGATGTTTCCACCCACGGGTAGATTCAGGACCCCTGGTGCCATGCCTGGGATGTCCAGGAGCTTGCAGGCTGCAGGATGGCAGGATCTATCCAGCTGAGCTGCAGAGGCCGTGTCAGGGGAGGGGAGGTGGTTTCAAGCATGAAAAGCTCAGGTCCCAACCCAAAACTCAGGTGGGAGCCTTGCCCCAACTGCAGCCAGGAGGGACGGCTCTGTCCCAAGTTCCAGGGTCCCTCAGGAGCTGGTGCAGGAGTGTGCCCAGGGATGGCAGCTCCCAGGAGAGGAAACACACAGGAGCAAGAGAGAGAGAGAAGCTGAGCTGCTGCACCAGGTCGGGCACCTCCTCTGGATCCCAGCCACCCTGGACAGAGCCTCGCCCGGGATGTCTCCACTCTGCTTAGAGATCCTAACCCAGCCCTAATGGGAGGAGAAATGGGGAGCCACCAAGAGGAGGGATTTCCAGCTGGCACAGAGCGGGACCCTCAGGGCAGGAGGTGCCACATGCTGCTCTGCCCCAGGGAGGCGACCAGAGCTCTGTCAAAGGGACTGGGTTGTCCCTGGATGCTGGTTTGAGGGAAGCCTGCAGCAGCCCGGCTTGCTGTGTGCTAGAGCAGGTCAGACGTTCCCAGGAGCATCCTGCTCGGCTTCTCGCTCTGCCTAAATCCCTACCTTCCAAAATAACTCTCCCAGTCATCTCTCCCAAGTGGTTCAGGGCGGGTGAGGAACCTTTAAACTATGTAGGAAGGAACCCCCTGTCCTCCCGGCTCCCTCTGTGGCCAGGGCTGAGGATCCCTGGGAGCTGCAGCAACAGCAGCTGCGGGGTTTCATCCCTGGGCTCAGCTCCCCGTTCCACAGAAGCAGCTCATTTCTGGAGGGAATCACACAGCCAGGGCTTGCACTGCCCCAAGGGCACCCGTGCTGTGCCCGGGCAGCTCTGCCCAGCAGCCTGATCTGAGAGTTGTTTATTGGACCCCCATGGATGCTCAGAAACATTCCCCCTCCTCCCCCCTCGACTGAGCACAAGGGAGCAGGTTTCTACTCTTCCCTCCTCTGAGCACCCGAAATCCCTGCCTGCCCTCTTCTTTTCCTCCCGGCCAGGTGTGGGATGAGCAGCTGGCTGGGGCAGCAGAGGCCTGGGCTGTGCGCTGCCTGTGGGACCACGGGCCCCCCCAGCTGATGAAATATGTGGGGCAGAACCTCTCCATCCAATCGGGAAGGTGAGTGCCCCACAGGTGGACCGGGCTCCTGGGGACCCCTCGCACCCCACGGTGCTGGAGGAGGAGGAACCCCTTGGCTGAGGAGCACAGAGGCTCTGAGCTGGGGTGGCAGAGGACTGAGATGGAACCAAGAGGCATGTTGAGCCCCTCAGGGAGGAGAAGGAGGGTCCAACCCTTGCAACAGGGTAAATGTGGGAAACCAGAGGTGCTTGCTACTCCTTTTGGGGTGTATGGCATTAATCCCCTCTCTGCCTGGCTCACGGAGCTGTGAGTCAGGGGTCCTGGATCTCCACTACACAGCTGAGCACTCAGGTGCCTCCAGCAAGGGCCAGGTCTTCTGGCCTTGGACACAGTGGATTTGGCACAAGGACATCATTACCCCTGCTCTATCCTGCTTCTCTCCCTCATTCCCTCAACATGGAGCCTTCCTCCCCTTCCTCTCCCTGGCCCACAACCTCTGGGGGGGAGGAGGTCTACCCTACACACAGCTCCTTTTGCAGGTACCGCTCCGTTGTGGACATGGTGAAATCGTGGCACCAGGAGAAGCAGCACTACTCCTTCCCCCACCCCCACGAGTGCAACCCCCGCTGCCCTTCCAAGTGTAGTGGCTCTGTCTGCAGCCACTACACACAGGTGAGCACCAAAGCCCCCCAGGATCTGGCTGCAAACCAGGGCAGCAGCCCTTCTCCCAGGAGCAGCTGGGATCTGGGATCAAATCCTGCTTCAAACCAGGCAGGGGGGCTGGCAGCAGGCACTGTGCCCACCAGAGGGGTGCAGGCAGCCAGTGGCAATGCCCTCCTACCTTGAGGGAATTCCCTGTGGGAATCTGGCTGCTTGCATGGGAGGTCCCAGAAGCTCACAGCAGGGACCTTCTGGCCAACTAGCGGGGAGGATTTAATTGTATTTAAGCTTTTTTTTCCCTGCTTTGGCTTTTTTTTTCTAATTATTACCCCATTGGCACCTCAAAGGTGGTGAAGAAAAAAAACAACAAACCCATTTGTGCTTTTGCTGAGCATGAATCCTCCTCTCTGTGATAGAGCAGCTTTATAGCCCTCAGCTGTGTCTGGCTTCCCCAGGAACACAGCCCCTGTTTTCTCCCAGCACATCCAGTGGCAACCTGGCCAGCACAAGGTGGAAAACCTCCCTCTGCTCCCCTGTGCAGTGACAAAGCTGTGCTGACCCCTGACTACCTCCTCTGCACAGCTCCAACCTTCACCAGAGCATCTGCAACTCCATGTAGCTCATCCATGGGGCTGCTCCGGGTCACAAATGGGCAAGATACGTTTATTTAAGGAAGAAATTCAGCCTGGAGAGGCTTTAGGAGGAGCCTGTGGTTCTGTTTCCCCTCCCTGCCTGCAGGGTGAGCTGCCAGTGATGGTGAAGTTTGCAAACTGATTTGGATAAATCAAAGAAGTGCCCCAGGCTCTGCTGATCATTTAAGTGAGCTTGGCAGGGCAGCACGGGCTGCAGGCAGAAGGACAGCAAGAAATCCCCCTCTGGTGACAAAGCACTGCCCACTATGGGCACAGCATCCAGCACAAGAACCTCGGGAAGGCGGGACGCGATTCCCTGGTGGGATGGAGCCCTGGCTGGGGTCTCGGGGTGATGGGCTGTGGGACACCCGTGCTGGGTAGTCCCCAACAGTGCCTGCTGTCTGTCCCACGCAGATGGTGTGGGCATCCTCCAGTCGCCTGGGCTGTGCCCTCGCTGCTTGTGCCAACGTGCAGGTGTGGGGCAGCACCTGGCAACACGCCGTCCTCCTCGTGTGCAACTACGCCATCAAGTAAGTGTCTGGAGAGAAGTGTGTCCCCCCCGTGCCTTCCTCCCTCCTGGCTGGCTGCTCCAGTATCAGCAGCGAGGTGATAGTGCTCAGAGGTGATGCCCTCCTCTCTTCTTTTAGGGGCAACTGGCTGGGAGAAGCACCCTACAAGGTGGGCCGGCCATGCTCAGCCTGCCCCCCCACCTACGGCGGCGGCTGCCCCAACAACCTGTGCTTCACCGGGCTCAAATCCAACCAAGTCAGCTGGTTCCAGGGCTGCAGCCCCATGAAGAAGCTCCCGGGATGGGGTGAACCAGAATTATTTATAACACTGACCCCTCGCACTGCTTTGTCCGCCTCTCAGCCCCCCCTGCCCCGCGTTAGGTGGCTCTGAGCTGCCCAGTTCTCCCACCTCCTGCAGCCCTAGAGCCTCGTAGGAAACCGCTGTTCTAACACACCTCCTCCCCAGCAGCGCTTGCCTTGTCCTGCTGCTTCACTTCGGGGGAAATAGGGATGGTTCAGGCCCCTATTTCCCAAAACAGGGATGGTTTTGGGGGGCACAGAGGGAGCGGGGTTGGCTGGCACAGTCCCTGCTTCGCAGGCGCGGGGGGCTTTCCCCGCTGGCCCCCCATGCTAAGGCAGAGGCTGGTGTCCAGGGGGAGAATGGGGCAGCCAGCCCCGTGTTGTGCCCCCGCTCCACAGCAGCCCCTCCAACCACGGGGCCCCCGGCTCCGAGCCCCCTAATAAAGCAGCCTGGAGTCCCCCGTGCTCGTGTTGGTCCCTCTCTCGCAGCCCCGGGGTGGCACCGAGCCAGGCG